AAAAGAATTGCTCAACCGTTGGCAGTGATCTGTGAAGCTGCTGGCTACCCTGGGTTCTTAAATGGTTTTGAAAGCTGTGGGAAATCATTGAAATCGGCAGCAGAAGGGAAGCAGCCCTGTTTGCTGCAGGGGAATTTGAGGTTCAAGTTACTGGCTCTTCTTCATACCAGTCACACCTCACAGTTGCTTTGGGCAAACAAGGCTCATAGTTCTGAATTTTTAGGTTATGTGTGGATGGTGAAAAATACCTATTCTGGTGGGATGCTATTACATGAGTCTCCGTACACAAATGGTGAACTCCCTTTTCTCCTCCCTCCTTCCCTTTGTTCCTTCCTTCCACAGCCCCTGTATTTAGCTTTTAAAGGGGAGTTAAGCATTTCAATCACCTCTAAGACATGCAGTTAACTGTTTTAAAGTTAGGATGGGAAACCATGCTACCTTTCCTTTAAAGATGGGACTCCTTAATCAGATCTCCAGAGGTAGAATGTTGCTGCTTCTCTGCTTCTGGAAACTTCCTTGTCCTGGTTTCCATTGTGCCACACTCTCCTGGTCTTTTGTCTACTCCTTTGGCTATTTCTTGCCAGTATTTAGTTTTTTTTCTGTCTCCTCTGTGGAACCTCTTCATTCATTTTAGACTAACTCTGTCTGTGCCTGGTCCTTGACCCTCTTCTCATTTTGAATCTTCTCTCATTAGGTATTGGATGATCCTTAAATATTGATAACTCCTTCCTCACTTTTTAAGTTGATCCCTGACCTCTGCCTTCATCTTTCAGATAATATGACTTCCTCCTTGACTCCCCACCTGAATATTGAGGCAGACTTTTCAAATTCACACTTTCCAAACTGAACTTTTGAATTCTGTGCCCAAGCCTGCTGCTGTCACCCAGACTCTCCTGTCTTCATCCATTCCCGTTGTTCAGCCCAGACTTAAGGGTTATCCTGATTACTATTTTTCCTTTATGTTCTCCTTCCAACTCCTCCAAATATATTCGGAATCTCAATGCTTCCCACCATCTAAACTGCCACCAACATGGCTCAAGCCATGCTCAGCTCTCACTTAGATGATATCACAAGCACTTTCTTTCTTTTTTTTATTTTTTTATTTTAGGGGCAGGGTCTTGCTGAGTTGCTTAGGGCCTTGCTAAATTGCTGAAACTGCCTCTGAACTCTTGATCCTCCTGCTTCAGCCTCCCAAATTGCTGGGATTACAGGCTTGCACCACCGGGCCTGGCTTGCAATAGCTTTCTGAATGACATCCTGGCATCCATCTTACCTCCTGCGGTTATTCTCTGGATAGCACTAGGTAGAATTTATTATTTATGCCTCTTACTAATTTGTTTCACGAAGAGAAGTAAGTGATGTATTTCTGATCATACAGGTGTAATAATGAAACAAAGGACTTTAATCTTGCTCTCCATAGTCCTAAAAATAGTTAACTTTTAAGTGGTTTTAATTTCAACATTTAATTATTTGAACTGTACAGAGTTTATAAATCTCCTAATAATGTCTAATAATTATTCAACACTATGTGCTAGACATGATTCCAAGGGTTTTCCATAATTTAGACTCATTAATCTTAAAATAACTATAATGAAATACCTTTCATCACTATAATAAAATGCCTGAGATAATCAACTTATAAAGAGAAAAGATTTATTTTTGCTTGCTAATTTGGAGGTTTTGGCCCATGTGATAAATAGACCCTGTTGCTTTGGGGCCTATGGTGAGGCAGTACACCCACAGTGAGGGCAGGTTGCCATAGCCAGGGAGAAAAAGAGAGAGAGAGGGGAGGGGGCTGAGGTTCCCTAGTACCCTTCAAAGCCATGCTTCTAATAACCTAAAACCTCCTATTAGGTCCACCCCTCAGAGCTTCTGCCACCTCCAAATGGCACCATCCTGAGGATCAAGTCTCTAACATAAGGGCCTTTGAGAGATAGTCAACATCCAAACCATAGCAATATTCTAGTCCTTAATTTTTGAATATAAGAAAACAGAGGCACAGACCTTTGAGTGACCTGTCCAAAGGTCATCTAGCTGATAGATGACTGAGGCAGGATTCAGTCCAGGCTCTGAATTTGCGCTAGTATACTGACCCTCTTATTGAACTGTGTTAGACTGACCCTCTCTAGAAGCCATGGATTTGTTCCAACAGTCTGTTGAGCCCGTGTCTGGGGGCTATTTATTTTTCTCTTTGGACTTTGGTTATTTTATCTGCTAAATGAATTTACCGTGAAAACAAAAATTGCCCATTCTTTTGTCACTTGTATCTCAGGTACAGCTAAGACGAGAATTGTAATAGCTTTTAGATATCTTCTATAAACATGTTATTTGGGGCCCACCTTTTTGAGTTTGAGGGGATATTTATCCCAGGGGCAGGCTAAAAATGAACTCCCAAATTGCCTCAAATATTGTCTATTTGGAACATTTCCCCAAAAGGCTTTGCCCTGAGAGTTGCTATGTGAAACAGCAAATTCAATCATGTCCCAAAGGGGCTGCTGGCGGTTTAAAAAATGGTTGGCCTCTCTCTCTCTGCACTTGCGCTGTGCTTCATAGATTTATTTAGTCCGGGAAAACTTCAAAAAGGATTGGTGATTTAAACTGAGTCTGGAAAGAACTGAAAGAATTTTGAATATTGAAAAGAGGAGGTTTCACTCCTGCTAGCTCTACATCCTGCAATGGAAAGAAACCACAAGCCAGTGTGCCATTTAACAATTGTGATGCTAATCTCTTTGTCCTTTTGTGTCTCAAAGCTAGCACACTCTGTATTTCACCTGGGTAATCTGTTATGTAACATCACCTAGAAACAGCTTTCTGCTTCCTCTCACTCCGGCAGGCTCCCCATCCCTTCCACCTTTGTGAATCATTTTGTTGATCAGAGACTCATTATCATTATTGATTAAACTTTGCCATCTCAGTTTGATGTCAGTGAATACCTTGCTCATTTTAATCTGTCTCAAGACCATGTTTTATGCTTACTATGTTTTAATTTGTCCCTGGATCGTGTTTGCCTGATGCTAATATAAAGATTGAGGACTCTCTTGGGGTGGTTTGTGACTGACACCAAAAAGTGTTTGAAAATATATGGATGGTCCTTTAGGATAAGCCTTGAGAATTGCAAAGAGAACTTCTCAGTGACAATTTCTTGGGCTGTTGCCTTGAAACTAGACTCATAAACAAAGGCAGGGAATAAATTTCTATAGTAAAACCTATAAAGTATTTACATGCTTTAACTCAGGGATGACTTTTTTCTTCTTTACCTGAATCTTGAATATTTTTCTCTTTCTGCTGTAATTCAAGCCACCCCTCTGACCTCTTCTCCAATCTTGCCTTAAAGAAATGATTGACCTCTGCCCTATACCAGTTTTGTTAGATTTCTTGAGTCCAAAGTTGTATCACATGTTATAAATATGATGCCATTTTTGTAATATTTTATTTTGAAATAATTTCATATTTACAGAAAGGTTGCAAGAACGGAACAATAAACTGCTCTGCTCTTTGTACTTGGGGGTCCCCAACTGTGATCCTTTTACTGTATTTGCTAACTGATAATGACCATTTTTCATTCTCTGAATTCTTGCTAGTTCACTACCTGATTAGAGCCCTGGAAATCTAAATGTGCAGTGTTTAGGGTTATGATGAGAGAGCCAGGGTTGAAGTGAGGTAACTGCTATTGGAGGAAACACCGGAAAGTTTGTAACAATGTCTCCTGTGCTATTTGCCTCAACTAAGAACTCCAGAAACAGTGCTTCAGTGACTCCAGTTTCTTCTGAGGTGCTCTAAATGCCTTGCTTTCCAAATAAGCACCAATATTTCTCTTCCCTTATATGTTGGTGACAAATAACAGTGTTTCTATTTAAGTGGCTAACAATGATGCAAAAAATAAAGTCAAGTGCTAGCCTCACCCCATGGGGGACATGACATGGAAATGGGCAGTGCATTTCCTAAGGCTGCCCATTGAAGACCTGGCTGAGGAGGTTTCTGGGGTCTCCCTGCCAGCCCATAGGTCATGCAGTTGGAGAGAATGTCAGCAAAGTGGCAGATTGCCAGCCCTCTATGCAGTGTGCACTGATCCTGAAGGGTGCAGCCCTTGGCTTTCCTGCCTGGCCTGGGAGGGAAAATGAGTAATGTGATTTGAATTGGCAAAACCCCACGATTTTCACTTTAAAAGGGATCTTTTATTCTTGAGTTGAAGCCAATTGAAATGCCCCAAGCCTGGACCTTTTTATTCAGACAAGAACAATGAGATCAATTTTCAACAGAAAATGAGGGAAAGGGAGAGGGAGAGAGAGAGATGGCAGCTGAGGTAATAGGCTATAAAGGACAAAGTCTGAAATTAAATATTATGGCTTAAATAGTGCTGTAATTCAAGCCACCCCTCAGCCCCCCTTCCCCAATCTTGCATTAAAGAAATAAAACAAAAAAACTCCTGGCCACAAAATGGAAGACAATCTTTTTCTAATAGAAGAAAATTCTCTCTGCAACATGAATTTGAGCTATAGCTATTTGATTTCTATGGAGATAAAGAGGCAGAGAAGTTAGTGCTGTTTGGAAGGGAATGTAAATGTGGTGTTAAGGAGCAAGGAAGCAAACTTCATGCATACTGGCTTATTAGAACTTGCTGTATTTTATTCTGTTTTCATTGAGCAGCAGAACCCAGGCAGGAAGCTTTTTATTTAATTTTTAGGGCAATTAGGGAAAGGAAACCCAGGCGGAGTGCCTTAGACTGCTCATTACCTTCTGGCGGACAGAAGGAGAGTGCATCTTTTAAATGTTAAGATCAGATTATTTATAAGTTTCACTTTGAGATGCAAGGGCATGGGAGAAACGACAACTCGATTAACAGAGGAAGCAGCCTTATGTACACAGCTGGTTTTGTCTCTGTAATAGGTCAGAGTCTGAAGAGCAGCATATCTTAGTCTCTTCCTGGAAAGGACAGCTTCTGGGGAACCAGTAAGGTTTTTTTTTTTTTTTTTTTTTTTTTTAAGGAAACAGCTTTTAGACATCCCGCTCTCTGCCCCCATCTTTTAGCAGATGTTGTGCTGGGGGTTGGTGCTCCTAGATCTTGTTCTGCTCTGCTGTAACGACGGTTCTAATTCTGCATCATTCCTGGAACGAGTTACTGACTCCCCTAGAAGTAGCTGGAAGCCTCTGATATTGGTAATTTCGTTATTCTATGTAACATAGTATCTTGGATTATTTTGTAAAACGAATGCATCTAGATATGAGTGAGTTCACAGTCACCTCATTTTTCTGGCAATAATGGTCGACCAGTTGCTTGATCACAGGGACAGGCTAACCTGAATCTTCTTAAAAAATAAAAAATGCTGAGTGTTCTTCCCGAGAGTTTGGAATAACTTTCTTTGTGGAGTTCTCTGAAGTCTCTATTTATTCACAGAGTTTTAGTTAAAAAGAGTAGGAATCAACATTTGCTGGTTTAAATGACAAAGGGACAAAGGGACTTTGGAGTCATTCCCTGAATGCAGGAAAGAGCAGCCCACCTTGTCCCAAGAAACCAGGGTCACCAGGGACCTCTCAGTAGCAGCAGTGTGCGGCTCTGTTCTCTGAATGGTGGCATTAACATGACTCTCTTTCGTTTCAGGCTGCAGTTTCTAATTCCTGATAACAGTTCCCGGAAAAGAGAATCCTTCTTCCAAGATTTTTTTTTTTTTTTAATTTTAATTTTTTTTAGGAGACAGGGTCTTACTGTGTTAGCCAGGCTGACCTCAAACTCCTGGGCTCAAGTAATCCTCTTGCATCAGTCTCTTGAGTAGCTGGGATGACAGACACACACCACTGCACCTGGTTCTTTCAGCTGCCATCAAGTGTTCTCTTGAGGATCTGTCAGCTGTGGGTAGGGATGGGAGAGAGTCGCACAGATCAGCCATGGCTGCTGCCCACTGCTCCCAAGTGTGCTGCAGTTCTTACGGAGTGGAAGCTTGTAGGATAGGAAGCCCCTTAAGAGTTGTCTATTATACCTGGCTAGTTTTTGTGTATAAGGGAAACAATTTGTGATCTAAAATCCCAGCAGACCCACTTCTGAATCCTCAAGAAGTGGCAGAACTTCCCTTTGGAATAGAAGAGCTATTTGGCTGTGAACAAAAGATAAGCTTCAGGGAAAGGCTGGAGACTCAAAAAGATTAAGAAAAGAAACTACACTGCCTTTATCAATAAAACAGGAATTTGGAAGCTGCCAGGGACTGGTCAGGGGAAAAGAAGCCCAGCTATGACGAGGACACAAGAATTTACACTGAGCATACAGTAAGCAAGCACAGGTGGTGGGTATGGTGAAGGCCATTTATAATACAAGTGTCTCATATATTTTCTCCCATACTTGAGATTGAACCCAGGGGTATTCTACCCCTGAGCTACCTCCTTAGACCTTTTTATTTTATTTTTTAAAATCTGAGATAGGATCTTACTGAGTAGCCCAGGCTGGCATTGAACTTGCGATTCTCCTGCCTCAGCCTCTCAAGTCACTGTAATTACAGGCATATGCCATTGTGACTGGCTAATATCCGGTTTTTAATTTAGTATGCTGGGGAGCACCGCAACATAGCCCTCTGTCCCTCCCCAGACCTTAGTAGATGTTTGACCTATGCCTACCTTCAGTTTGTTAGTATTTCAGGTGGAAAAGGAGTTGTGTGATTCAGCTTCTTGTTACTGTAACAAAAACCCAACACAATCAACTGAGACTGAGAAAATATTTATTTTGGCTCATCATATTGGAGGTTTCAGTCCATGAATGATTGGTTGTGTTGCTTTGGGCCTGTGGTGAGGCAGCACATCATGCTGGGGGTATGTGGCGAAAGTGTTTACCTCATATCGGGGACATAAAAGGAGGAATCCGCTGGGGTCCCAACATCTCCTTTAAGGGCACATCCTCAATGACTTAAACCTCCCACTAGGCTCCACCTCTTAAAGGTGCTACCACTTACACATAGTGCCAAACTGGGGAACCTTCCAGATCCAGCCATAGCAGTGAAGTAGTTTGAAGGATATAGCAAAAGGAATTCTTGAAACCAGAGGCAAGTAAGAGAACAGGATTCCGCTCTCCCTTTCTGAAGAATCTCAAGAGAGTTTGGGAGGAACAGCTAATTTTCTCCTCTGGGCTGAGGAACTAGGTTGGGAGTTTAGACATACTTATTTGAATTTGAAATAAAATTAGAAATTATCTAATTTCTAATTTTAGATAACTCCAGCTGAGTGTAAGGATAGATGAATAAGGACCATGTATTTTTTGAAATGATGTGAATGTGGTAATGTGGAGGGATTTTTAGATTGTCTTTTAGCGTTCGATCTTGAGCCTCAAAGCCTCTTACTGTAATGGCAGGAATCTGGATGCAGCCTCACAGTAGGGGGTGGAGGGCAGCTGAAGCCTCTTGAGAACTTCTACCAGGTGAATGGCTCACTGTGATGAATCTTACCCACCTGTGTCCAGGGTAGCTCTGTCTTAACCTTCTCAGGATTCCCACTGACCCTCTGGCTGCCATTCATGTCTGACGTAAGTCCGGAGAAGAAGTAAAACAGTCCTGTAGAAAATTCAAGTTAGTAAGTAGTTCTGAAAAAAGTGTTTTACTTCATCAGTTTTCAATTTTTCATTGTATAGAAGACATTGATGAAATTTCAGGTGCCATTTTTAAAGTGCCAAGAGAATCAAGATAATCCCTCCAGGGTAACGAGCTCCTTTTACTGATGTCTTCATTTATTCATTCATTCTTTTAGCAAGGATATATGTAATACATATAATGCTTTAGAAAGATGCTGGGTGCTGAGCGCATAAAAAGGCAGGCATTTAAATAAGGTATTAAAATACTGAGACAAATGCCAGAGAAGGCTGCATAAAATGCTAAAGGGAACTTGAAGAACTGTCAAATGAAATAGTTATGCCTAACATTGGGGACAGGATAAGACGGGCAAAGAGGAGACAATTTGTCTATACTTTACCCCACCTTTTTTTTTCTTCATTTTTGTTTGTTTTTGGTACCAGGGGTTGAACCCAAGGATGCTTAACCATTGAGTTACATCCCCAACTTAAAAAAAAATTTTTTTTTTGAGACAGGTTCTCACTAAGTTGCTTAGGGCCTTCCTAAGTTGCTGAAGCTGACTTTGAATCTGTGACCCTCCTGCTTCAGCCTCCTGAGTTGCTGGGATTACAGGTCTGCACCACTACGCCCAGCTCCCTACTTTTTATTTTTTAATCACTTATCGGAATATGTATCTCTATTTCTTATTGCTTCCGGTTCCTTATGCCATTCCTTTGAAGATATTGTTTTTGTTAGAGAAATCTCATTTTAAAAGGTGGCTTCCTTATTTATTTATGCTAGCATTTAAAGTATGAATTCCTAGCCATTAGAATAAATTTCAAGATCAGGCCTAGAAGTATAACTGTAGTTACAAAAACAACGTTGTTTCTACTGATAACTTCAAAAGTCCAGAATACCAATTTAGACTATCGTACCACTAGCTTTGTTAACTCATTATATGTACTTTAGGATGAATAAATTTGACACTGTTGAGCATACATCTAACACTGGTTTTCAAAGTCTACCTGTTTTTGTTCTGAACTGGTAACTTGTGTTTGGGGTAATCACAAGTCTATTGTTTTTGATTCATATCTCAAATGCAAACAGTAAATTCTAAATTGTGGTTTTAGCCAGATTAGTTTGGTAGCAAGAGAATAATCTGACTCAAACCATTTGTAGTGGATGCTGTGGTGTGCCACCTACATCCCCCCTGTAGGACTGAGAGTTTTGCACCTCTAGCTGCTGGGAATGTCGGCTTCATATGGCTTAAGCTGAGTTTTTGCTAGGAAAAGAGATTTTTCCTCAGCAGATGGTATCATTCAATTGCTTCATGCAGATTGTATCTCCTTGTATCTATTAGCTGGTTGTTGTGGCTATGTTGCCTCCACATGGGACAATTCTGAAGGGTTACCTGTAGCATTGAACAATAAACTCCATTCCAATATAGCTCCTGGCTGCTTGGCTTTGGTGGAGATGGATTGTCTGGAGCCTGTCATGAGCTGGGTTTGGAGAGATTCATATGTTGTTGTTGGGTGGGATCAGCAATAATGTGTCAAAAGGACATCCAAGATCAGCTATGACAAAGGTCAGACGGCTCCAGGAAGCCTACAACCCCGTGTCAATCACCACTCTTGTCCTCATTTTAATCCTTTGGCTCACTTTCATGACCCTAAAGTCATGAAAGAAGAAAAAGGCTCTAGCTCAGTTTATGGATTAACTGGCTTTGTACATAGATGCAAGATGAGAATAGACTGCTGCTTCCTTGCCACACTGCTCATTTGTGGCCCTAAAAGATAGCAATAAAGGCAGATCCTTACGGAGATCAGCATGTCTATTAAGAAATAGCCCATCTGGTTAGGCTATATCTAGATGCCTGACTTACTCTTTTTGAAAAAATTTATTTATTTGTTCTAATTTGCTACACATGGTAGCAGAATGCATTTCAATTCATAGTACATATAGAGCACCATTTTTCATGTCTCTGTACACAAAGTATATTCACACCATTCGTGTCTTCATACATGTACTTAGGGTAATAATGTCCATCTCATTCCACTGTCTTTCTTACCCCCATGCCCCCCTCCCTTCCTCTCCCTCCCCTTTGCCCTATTTAAAGTTCCTCTATTCCTCCCATGCACCACCCCCATACCCATTATGGATTAGCATCCACATAGCAGAGAAAACATTCAACCTTTGGTTTTTTTGGGATTGGCTTACTTCACCTATCATAATATTCTCCAACTCCATCCATTTAACTGCAAATGCCATGATTGTATTCTCTTTTAATGCTGAGTAATATTCCATTGTGTGTGTGTGTGTGTGTGTGTGTGTGTGTGTGTGTGTGTGTGTGTGTGTGTCTATCTCAAAGTTTCTTTATCGATTCATCTACTGAAGGGCCTTTAGGTTGGTTCCCGTAGTATTCTTAATAGCTGCCATTCTGACTAGAGTGAGATGAAATTTTAAAGTAGTTTTGGATTTGCATTTCTGGAATTGCTAGAGATGTTGAACATTTTGTCATATGTTTGTTGATTGATTGTATATCATCTTCTGAGAAGTGTCTGTTCAGTTCCTTGGCCCATTTATTTATTGGGTTATTTGTTTTTTTGATGTTAAGGGATGTTAAGATTTTTGGGC